CTCTCCAAGCTTGTGTGACTGGTTTTGGGGATGCTGAGAGGCTATGTGAGGGGGGGGGAAAACAGCTCAAGTCACAACGGAGAGACTGCACCCATGGCACCAGCCTGGCAGTGTGAGCATCTGCTGTGTAGGGTGGACTGATGGCACCACGGTGACTGTGCATGAGCCTGCCTGGGTTGTGCAGACGGATTGTGTGGATGATTCTAGTGACATTTCAATGGTGGATGTATGTACCTTTGCTGGCATGTTTGTAAAGCCAAATATAAAAGATAAATTCTATATCATATGGCAGTATGGGTAAGATGAAGGACTCACTAGTTGCTGTAATATGGATCCTGGTTTGAAGATGCTCAGGCAAGTTTATTACAACAGCTCCTTTTGTCTGAGAAGTATTTAAGGCAAAGTGGATCAGTGCTTCTGATTCAATTCAAGTATCTCAGAGGCATTCAACAATTGCTACCCTCAGAAGCATTTAAATATATCAAAAGCCCACAGAGCATAAGCCTAGCAGATGGGAAGGCTTGCTCGGACTGAAGCAGGCTAAGGAGGATGTCAGTATTTCTGTTTTCCAGATGGTACTGCACATTGCAAGTCAAATGAGTGCTAGGAACTGCACAGTGCACTTAGCAGAGCTCAGAGCAGATGTCCCACCATTATTTGCTAAGACCTTCTTTTACAGTGCTTCTCAGTTTGCTTCCCCTGGCAAAGCCAGCCATTTAGGGTTGCAAAGCTTCTAGCCCAGACCCAAACTCTAATGGTGAGCAAACCCAGATCGGGAAATGTATGTGGATGTATGTGCAAATTTTGTTACCTAAAATACTGAAAAATTGTATTAGGAAGGTGTACAATACTGCTATGCTTTGTGCTTCAGCTATTGCTCCTTTCCTGAAGAAACTACAGAAGGTTACTGTATTACTAGTATTATTACTGTATTATTAGTTCTGTACTCCTGAAGAAATTCTGTAATACAGAAGTTTGGCAGTCTGGGAAGGGACGTGCCTTAGCAACGGCCTGTATTGGTGTTGGGGATCCCCAGCCACTTGGTAACGAGGCTTGTGTGAACATGCACGTTACAGAGAAGCCAGGCGTTGCCATCTTCACAGCATTGCCACCAACCCAGACCAGAGGCAGGAGCGTTTGCTGGTGGCAACCCACAGTTGCACAATGAAGCCTCTGTTGTGCGTGTTCATGGATGCTCACCAATGCTGTCACAGAAGCAATTGCTATAATTAAGGATTTATATCATTCCATAATTTTTCCAGACGGGTTTAGGGAACCATTATTATTTACTAGCTGTTTTATGAAGTTGGCCGGATGTATCCCTGCACTTCTCCACCAGGCCCAGGAGCAACCTGGCTGATGTCAGTCCCAGTTCTCAGGACTGTGTGTGACAGGGTTGACGACAGCAGTGTGACCTGTAGTTGAAATCTCACTGCACTGCTATTGTTCAGCCAGTACAGACGTGGAAAGGGGAGAAAGACAGAAGTGGCTTAAATTGCAGAGGTAACTGTAGTCAGAGCAACGGGAAGAGGTTTTGTGTAAACAAGAACCTGGCTCTGTGTGATCTAGTGTGAATGGCTCTACAGGAGAAATGTGCCTTTTTGTGAAATGCTTCGGAAAAGAACATGTATTGAAGCTTATCTCCCCCTTCTGGAAACTCCTCTACAAGTCCCACGAAGATTGCAGGATACAGAAGTTACCTTTCAAATATTTGTTATTTCTAGATTTCATGCTTAAAAACATGCGGCATTCCTTACTTTGTAGTGCTTTCACTTCCAGTATGATGAAAAGTAAAATATTACTTCTGAACTGAAGCAAAATGTCACATGGTTTACGCTGGGTTGCCGAGGTCTCATGTTATCCAACGGACAATGTTCAGTCAGGCAACACCACGTTCTTCGAGAAAAGTCCAAATTCCGCTGCTGCTCAGAAGGATTTTGTGGCCTTACCGTGTACTTTTGAAATTAAGCCGGCGAGTTACACCCAGCTGCTGTTTCACCGCTGTTTCCACTCCCGGTGCCTCGGGCTCCCGCTGCGGCGGCTCCGTCGGAAAGGTGTTACCGCCCAGGGCGGACCCTCGCAGAGGGCTGCGGGGCGCTCCGGGGGGCGGCCCGGCCCTGC